CCCACCCTCACGTTCAGGCCTCCCAGTTCCCCTTGCTCCCTTCCCTGTCACTGTGTAGTCATCTCATGTACGTCCCCCCCAGTCTCACTTCCTCAAAGGCAGACACCAGGGCTGATCAACCTGTACGCCGCACAGAGTCTAATGCACAGAGGTGCTCCATCAGTAAACTGAACGGTCCCCGCCACAGTGAAGCAGAGCCTGCTACGCTCCATAGCGCTGGGGGCCTGTGGCACGCACACGGTCACACAGGATAGACAAGGACTAACATGAAAGGCATGAGTAGGTTTACAAAGCACTTACCATCCACGCTCACTCAAACTCTCACTTCCTTGAGAGCTTGAGATTTCTGATCCTCTGTTCCAGGGGGAGTGAGGTCCCCAGAAGAGAAGTAGGCTGCTAGTCACATCCCAGGGGGTAGCCGGGGCTGGAATTCTAGCTCTAGATATAGGCTTCTAGGCCCTGGAAGCAGTGAGGGGGACCATGGCAAGTTGGCTCTACCTACTTTACAGTCAGCCGTAGAGGTTTCTCATGAGTGGTGGGTGTCTCCAGGACAGGGGAGAGCTGGAGCCCCAGCGCAGGGGGACAAAGAGGAGGCCTGAGGACAGACCAAGGAACCACACCGAGGCCAAAGCAGAGCTTCCTGCCAAGAGGAACAGGGCCGCTCTCAAGAGAGCTGAGGGCCCATTAATGATTCATTCATTCAACAAATATTTTCTGAGCACCTACCCACATGCCAGGCATTGTGCTAAGGCCGAGGACCTAACACTGAGAAAGACAGGCAAGGTCCCTGTTCCCTTGGTGCTGACAGTCTTATGGGGGAGACAATGACCTTCACAGTCAAGTCCACATGATAATTTATGTAATTAAAAAGGATTATTTAAAAAAAAAAAATAAAACAAGTTGTGGTGACTCTCAAGATGGCATGGTCAGAAAAGGCTTCTGAGAGAAGACTGATCAGAAGCCAGACATGCAAAGATCTGAGCAGAAGGGTAGCCGAAACCGGTGTGGCTCAGTGGATAGAGCGTCGGCCTGCGGATTGAAAGGTTCCAGGTTCGATTCCAGTCAAGGGCATGGTATCTTGGTTGCGGGCATATCCCCGGTGGGGGGTGTGCAAGAGGCAGCTGATAGATGTTTCTCTCTCATTGATGTTTCTAACACTCTATTTCTCTGATTCTCCCTTCCTCTCTATTAAAAAAAATCAATAAAATATATTTTTTTAAAAAAATAAGGGCAGCACACAAAAACCCTGAGCAAGCCCTAGCTGGTTTGGCTCAGTGAATAAAGCCTCGGCCTGTGGAATGAAGGGTCCTGGGTTCGATTCCAGTCAAGGGCACACATACCCAGGTCATGGGTTCCATCCCCAGTGTGGGGCATGCAGTGAAGGAGGCAACCGATCAATGATTCTCTCTCATTTTTGCTGTTTTTCTCTCTCTCTTCCTCTCCCTTCTCTGAATTCAATTAAGAAGATTATATATATATATAACAAAACAAAACAAAACAAAAACCCTGAGCAAGATAGGACTGAACGGGGGAATGCTGCAGGAACGGGAAGACACCAGCAGTGCCGGCACACGACAGGGTAGGAATGAGGTCATGAAGCCGTGGAGCTGCCACGTGGGGCTTCGTGGCCACAAGGATGTGGGGCAACTGTCAGCTCACCTGGCATCAAAGCCCCGGGGCTGGGCTATCTCTCGCCACCAGAGCGAACTGGGGTGCCGGGGGGGGGGGGGGGGTTCCCTCAAAAAGCCTGGGCGGTGTGATGTGCCACCACCCCGTGAAAACTGGAAGCTGCTGCACCTCCAGCGGCCAGAGCCCTGTGCACAGCCCTGTGCTGCCTCCCTGTACTTCCTCTTGGCTTAAGGAAGCGAGTCACAGCCTGGGAAGCGGACCTGGGTTCTAAGCCTGGCTTTGATAACACTGGACCAGAGGCTTCTCTCCGGGCCCGCAGTGCCCCGGAGGTAGCATAAGGGCTGGGCCAGATGCAGCATTAACAAGTAATTATGATTTTATGACTCAAGCACTGCTGTTGAATTTGGAGGTGGGAGGATGGGGGTGGGGCAGGATTTCCACACTGGTTACTGACTCGCCCAACCTGCTAATAAATATTCCTCTTGGTCCTTCTTTCCCAGCCCAGATGAGGCCTTGGGAGCACAGATAACCCCAAACTGGCCTCCATGCAGCTGGGGAAATAGGACAGGGCGGGGAAGCTACACAAAAAGAGAGGAGGGGAATATGCATGATGTTCTTATGCCATAATTTTTGGCTGGGTTAGGGAACTACCAACCGCCAGTTCTGGAGTTATCCCCCAACAGCCTAGCCTTAGTTTCCCTCCCCACCAAGTACCCGCTTGCAGTGACGGGGAGGGAGCTCCACCCTCACGCACACGAAGCCTGTTGCAGTTTTCAACAGCTGTTAGAGAGAATTCCTCCATGATACCAACACCTGCTCCCCTCGTCCCTCTGTTGCAGGTCTTGCTCTTTGGAGCCACACAAATCAGCTTAGAATTTTCATGGAGCTGCCACCATCTCATGCTGGGTCATGGGTCAAACCTCAGAGATATAGGCAGACATCAGAGGGCTCTCACCTGAAGATCCTCCCGCTTCTCTCCGTGTCCGTCGTCCCCGTGTCCTGTCCCCCCCTCCCCCTCTGCTGTCCAGGGGCAAAGGAAGAGATGCAAATGAAACCAACTCTGCAGCCTCCACCCAGAACAGTCCTTCAGACAAACTAGCAACATGCATCTCCCCTCCCCCAAAATCAGACACCCACGTGCCCATGCTCCCACAGCAGCACTGCTTTCCTCTTGGTCAGGAGACCAGACACCAAGGAATCTAGTTCAATCTCTCACCCATTGCAGGACTTCCCTTCCCGGACTCCAAGGTCTCTCCTTGAATTCGGCCACTAACAGGGTGTTCAGCAGCGGCACCTTATTTACAGAGGCAAAGCAGGCCACCGGGGAGTGTTGTCAGAGACCAGGGATGTGGAAAGCAGGTCTAATGGAGATGCCCAGATAACACCGAATTTGCTTCATCACCCTCCCCGACCCCACCCAGTCTTTCACCAAAGCCGATCGGAGCTAAGTTGATTGGTTTGCATCTCATACCAGCCCTTGCTAGATCCCAAGATGGAATTCTTTGCAGCCAATTAAACAAAAATGTTTTCGAGATCTGATAACAGCGTTGGGGAAATGCTCCTGACGAGATATGAAGCCACTTGGTCCAAACCCTTCCCTAGACGTCCTGCTAACTAACAAACTCCAGGTCCAAACCTGGTCCCTGGTCCGGGAAGATTCAACTCCCGGCCAGCAGTAAGAGAAGGGGGTAGCAGGAAGGACTAGCACAGAGAGCATCCCTGGCCCATACCTGGAGGCAAATACACTTTTAAAAGCATGAATATGGATGTCCCGTCTTCCCTTCTTATGAGCCTTCAGAAGGAACAGTGGACAGACCAGCTCTCTTTAAGTGAGGGAAGGGGCTGTCAGGGGCTGTTGGGGCAACTCAGGCCGCTTGCCTCCCGAGATGGTGACAGCAGCTCAGGACTTCTCCAAGGGCAAACAGCACCCACACCAATAGGGGCAGACACAGCCACAGTCACACAGAGAACAACAGCAATGCCAGGACACGGTTACACTGTGACACAGCCATTAGAATATGATAAGTGAATTTGAATAACAGAAGGAAATACTCATGACGGAACATGCAGAGGGAGAAAACAGGATTCAGAACTATAGCTATAGCGTGCCCTCAGCTTTATACAATACATATAAATAAAATTATAAAAATATACTAACATGGCAATAGAATGCTATCTTTGGGTAATCAATACCAGCAATTTTTATTTTCATTCTGTGTGTGTTTGTGTGTATATATATATTTTTTCAAAATTCCAGTAATTACGATGTTTTACTTTTATAATGAAGCTGGGTGGAGTAAACAATTGTGAGTTACTAAAGAATAACCCTAAGTAGGACAGGTTCAGCAGAATAAAGGCTTAGAGGGAGGGAGGTTGGATTCCAGCAAGACAGACACTCCGACCAGGACAGCTGTGAGGACTTCCCCAGGTCTCCCGGGTTTGTGTTTAATCCCATGGCCAAGGAAACCCTGGGCAAGTTTCTCCAGCGATGGGGTGGGGGAGGGTGACGTGGGAGGTGGAAGGGAAAAGTTCTGGAGTTTGGTCTCAGCTCTGTCCCTGATTCCTTTCCAGGGGCATGGCCACACCGAAGGGCACCCGGCCCTCCACCCCACTTTCAGAGATGCTAGGCTCGGAGTTGCTTTTGAGTGGGCCCCAGAACCTTGCCTGGCGCGTGGGTGTTGGAGAGAGGACAGTGTCCTGCCCCAGTCTGGCATGTTCTCTGGTGGCTGTTGTCAAGGGGATTGCAAAACCCTGGCCACGCTGCCCCATGCAGTCAGTCTCTCTCCCTTGCGCTGCCTGGTGAGGGCTGAGGGTAGGGAACTGCCAGGGGCCACCAACAATGCCGGAGCCAGTATCACCCCTGTTTCCCAGGTGAGACAAGCAAGCTGGGGGGAAGGAAAGGGATGTAACAGAGGTTGCACATATTGAAATACTGATGAATGCTAGCGTGGGGAATGAATCCAGACTTGACTTCCATGGCAGGATACATGGATCAGACTAGGTAACCATTTTTCCTCCCTCACCCCAGACCTGGATGATAAGAAGGGGTTGGGGCGGCAAGCTTTCCCCCTAAGAAAAGGGGTTGGGACCTTAACCTGCACAGTGGCCAGTCCTTCCCAGCATCACCTCATTGTAAGAACACGCTCCTGCTCGCCTTAGCGCCCTTCCTCAGGGCTCTTCCTGGACCCTTCTTGCAGCTTCAGAACCCCAGGCCGAGAAAGCGCCAAAGGCCCTGCAGACCCCTCGGTGCTGGGTGACAAGCCTATCTCCCAGACACTCACCCCATCCCCAAGCCCCTCTCCCAGGACAGACAGCACGGACCGCCATCCGAGCTCTCCCTCCGGGCAGGCAGCCCGGGGGCCGGTGCTCACCTCGCAGGACCCCGGAGTAGGCGGCGATGAGGGTCTTCATGCTGAAGCCGGTTCAGGGAACGGCCCTGCGGGAAGCCGCTTCACCCCGCGCCCCTGGCCATGCCCCGGCCACCGGGCCAGGGCTTCGCGCCGCGAGCACGGGAGCCCGGGGGCCGCGCGGACGCACCGCACGAGAAGCGGGGGAGCCGGGGAGCCGGGGGAGCCCGGGCGCTGGGGGCGCTGGGGGCGCGCGGCAGGCAGTGCGAGCAGCAGTGGAACCCGAGGCCCCGCCGTGGCCACTGGGCGGCCACTGGAGCTCGGCGTTTTATAACCTCACAACCAACGGGGCGGGGCCGGGCGGGCGGGGCGGGGTGGGGCCGGCGTTCCAGCCCACGCGCCCCACTGGCTGGGGAGAGGGGGGGACGGGGAGCGAGGCTGGGGCTCGGCTCCGCGGGGACCCCTGTTTTGCGCGCGTGAGGCCCCAGGCGTGGGGAGCGCGGGGGTGCGGGGAGCGGAGGCCGGGGTCCTCCCTGCAGGAGGGGCGCCCGGGGATCCCTGCTGCTCCCCCTCTCCGCCCCTCGCTCTCCCCCGCGGAGGTTGGTAGGGCCCGGCCAGGCGGCTGGAACGTGGGCGCAGAGGCGGGAGTCCGGCACGTGCAGGGGGCCGGCCAGGGGCGTGCGGCCAGGTGTTGTTTGGAGTCTCTTGGGCAAGGCCTTTCCTTGGCCGCAGATGCCATGGTCCCGCCTCCGGTCGGTATCAGGGATTGCTTAGGTTAGGGCTGGACTCCTGCACCACCCAGATGCCTCTACCTTTTTCCATCTCTGTGTTGAGAAACCTCACAGACTATCTGTCTCTGCATCGCGGCGTGCTGGGGACCCAGCCCAACCAGCCCGGGCCCTGCCCTTGGGAAGCTCACGGTGGTGGTGGTGGTGGTGGTGGTGATGGTGAGGGTGGTGGTGGTGGTGGAGGTGGTGGTGATGATGATGGTGGTGGTGGTGGTGGTGAGGGTGGTGAGGGTGGTGGTGGTGAGGGTGGTGAGGGCAGTGTTGGCCGCACAAACATACCACTGGCAGCAGTGCTGGGGAAAGAGAGAAGACCTTGCCTTGGACTGGGGACTGGGTGCATTTCCCAGCAAAATTAGTGCACGGCAGCTTTGGAATTAGATAGACCTAGAGTCCAGTTTTGGCCCTACCTTTCTCTTTTTTCTTTTTCTTTCTTTCTTTCTTTCTTTCTTTCTTTCTTTCTTTCTTTCTTTCTTTCTTTCTTTCTTTTTTTTTTAATGTTTTTACTGATTTTTAGCTAGAGAGGAAGGGAAAGGGAGAGAGAGATGGAAATTTCCATGAGAGAAACATCGACTGGCTACCTCCTGCATTGACCTTTTCTGGGGATCTAGCCCACGACCCAGGCACCTGCCATAACCAGGAATCCCACCGGTGACCTCTTGGTGCATGAGACAATGCTCAACCCACTGAGAACACCAGCTGGGCATGGCCCTGCCTTTTCTGAAACTCAGTTTTCGTATCTGTAAAATGGTACCAAGGACAATTAGTTTGTGAGGTGTTTTGAGAACTAAACAGGATTAGGTATAAAAAAAAAATAATAAAATTAAAAAAAAAAGCTTAGCCTAGTGCCAGGCACATACAGAGTGTTCCAAAATTATTTTCATTTTATGTTGATGAATAGTTTTGTAGATGGAAGGCAGAGGACAGGCATAATAAAGTCTTAGAAAAGCCGGCATGTTTGGGGCAGGGCTAGGGCACCTGGAGTGGCTGGCGCTCAGGCAGCTGTGGGAAAAGGGGCTGGGCCTGGTCTTATGAAGGTCCTCCAGTGCCCACTCGTGGGACGCTGTGGTGGGAATGGGGTTTTTGGAATGGCTTTGAGTAGAAAAATGACAGTGGTCAGATTAGATCTTAGAGGCCTCCAACCACAGTGAGATGCATGGGGGAGGCTGGAGGCCAGGAGGGCAGTGAGGGGCTGCAGGAGGGATCCAGGCGGAAGAGAATGAGCCCAAAGCGAGGGTAGTGGTGGAGGGAAGGGAGGGAAAGGCCTGGTCTAGAGAAAAGCATAGGAGGCGGTGAGAACTATGGAACTGTGGTTAGATGACTTATTGGATATTGAGGGTGAGGGAAGGGGTGGGAGCAACAAGCATGTCAGTGAAAAGATATTTCTTGGGCACAGTACAAGAGGAGAGGGAGCCGAAACTGGTTTGGCTCAGTGGATAGAGCATTGGCCTGTGGACTGAAAGGTCCCAGGTTCCAATCCCGTCAAGGGCATGTACCTTGATTGCAGGCACATCGCCAGTGGGGGATGTGCAAGAGGCAGCTAATCGATGTTTCTCTCTCATCGATGTTTCTAACTCTCTATCCCTCTCTCTTCCTCTCTGTAAAAAATCTATATATATATATACATATATATATATATATATATATATATTTTTTTTTTTTTTTTTTTTTTAAAGAGGAGAGGGAATCTCTGCTGTTGAGATCTTTACCACCTTGCAGGGAGGGATATGATAGAGGCCACAGTGCCAGGGTAGCATGTGACACATGCAGCCGATGGGACCTAAAAACACTTCTATTGTTCAACCCTCTCAAGGCCACAGGAGTGAACCTCTTTGAGAAAACATCATTGCGCTCTGAGGCTTGAGTTGACCAAGAGTAGAAGAAAAAGCATTCTAGATAGAGCATGTGTGAGGCTCTGAGGCTGAATAGCACTTGGTACCTTTAAGGAAACTGAGGGAAGGCTGGTGGCATACCTGGTTTGGGGTGGACATTCCAGGCTGGTATGTGTAAAAGCAGGAGGTAGGACCATGTGTGGTGTCTTTCTGGGTGAAGGAGAGCACAGCCAGGTAGATGCTGAAGAAGCCACTGAGTTCTTGCATCCTCTCCCCAAAGGTAAAGTGTTGGGGTCCCCTGGGAAGAAAGACTCCTGCTGGCCTGGAAGGACCCCAGGTCAGTGTGTGGGTGAGTCTATTCCAGAAGGGTCTCCTGTGGAGGAGGCCTTGGGCTGGAACCCCTGGCCCACCCACTCACCTGATGGTGTGGCCTAAGGGGCAGAGCTTGGGCTGGGAGGCAGGAGGCCTACAGTATGGCCTGTTCTCTACCACTGACTTGCCAGGTGTCCTTAGGCAAGTCTCTATCCCAGCCTAGGTTTCAGTTTCTGCATCATGAAACGGCCATGACAGTTTCTCTCTTGCTGATTTCATTGCAATGTTTGAGGATCAAATGAAATCACAACGTGTAAAAGGGTGTTACCACTGTGCTATGAAAAGTAAGGTGTTATCTTAAATGGCACGATTTCGGGTCTTCAACGCCTCTCTGAAACATTCAGATCCCAAGTTCCTCTATGCCAGCATGTGTTTCCTGTGCACCTTCCTGGCTCTGGCTTTCCTTGGGACACAGAAGATAATCAGACATAGTCCTAGTCTCCGAGGAGACCCAACCAAGGGCTGGTGTCTCAAAGCCACTGTTTGCAGCCAGACAGCCAAACTGTAGGGCAGGGGACCATGGGAGGTTGTGTTGACTTCAGCCCTTTCCTCCTGTGCGGTCTCCTGTGTCTGCCTCTCTGTTGGGCCAGGAGCTTCCCAGAGGCAGGAACCTTCTCATCCTGTGCCCCAGTGCAGGCTTGCTCAGCATAGCGGCTCATTCCATGGTGGAGCATCGACCAGGAATGAGCACCATAGAGTCACGGACAAAGTGCTTGGGGAGCATGGAGGAGGGATGGTAAATTGGGAAGGTTACGAGGAGAGGACATTGCTGCTGGATCTGAAATGAGGACGATTCTGCCGGGCAGAGAGGAAGGAGAAGAGCGTTCAGGCAGAGCCTGGAGTTGGGAACCATGAGCACCTGGTGGGGCTGAAAGAGGACTGGTAGGAGAGGATAGGGAGATGGACAGGGACCACATCTGAAGGAACTTGTAATCTAGCCACGAAGCTTGGGTTTTTATTCCGTGGGGTTCAAACCAAAGGAGAGGTGTGAGCAGAAGAGCATCTTGATCGGATTGGAAGGTTAGAAAGAGCAGGTAGGCTAGTAGTGTAGGTCAGGGACAGGGCTTGGGGAATGGGACGATAAAACCTGTCCCAATTTGGGCTCTTCACACCAAAGGATGCAGAGGCAAGTCCAAGGACTGAGAGGGGCCATCTCTTGCTTATGGGCCACCTCGCTGAGTAGCAATTCTTCCTATTGGCCCCCAACTGCCAAGATCATGGCTGCTGCTTAAGCAGTTTGGCCCAGATTGGCTTTGGATGGGAAACCAGACCTAGAGTTAGAGCAGCCCAGAGAGGTCGTTTCTGGGCAGCTTTCTGTGTCCTGGGACTGTCCTCCTCTGTGTGAGGTGAGCATGGGGGCTCACACAAGCACTGACTTCCCCTGGTGCCCTCCCCACACATCCTACCATCCCTACATTCCTGTCTATAGTGGCCTGCCCTGCTCTTCCTGTCGGTGTGTGAACAGGACGGCTCCAGGACATAGGTCACCTCTTCTTCATCATCGCCCAACTAACCCACAGGTGCTTTGACCAAACCACAGACAAGTCAAGCTGCCAAGCTGGGCTTGACCAGGAGGGTTTCACCCAGGGTAGCACCTCCCACCATACCCCCTTCAGTCACCAGTGCTGTGCTGCCTTTAGGAATTGTGGGTACAGCTTTGTAGTTTATGAGGCTTTGGATGCTTGCCCCTCTGAGATCCCTTATGGTAATGACAGCCTTAGACCCTCCATTGCACAGATGAGGAGGGTACGTGACCAGCCTGCAAGCAGAGAGGACACTTACCCTAAGGGAGGGACAGGGTTAAAGGCAGAAACACGTTTACGAAGCCCTGGTCTGTGTGATGCTAATGGAAAAAAACATTGAAACTTATAAAGAATTTTTGTGAGTTTATTTGAGCCAAACTCAACAATTGCTGGGAAACAGAATTTCAACAATTGGGATAATGCTCCGGAGAATGGTGGTTTTTGTTTTGTTTTATTTTGTTTTGTTTTTTACCTTGTTTTTATAAATTACCATAGGAGGAGATGCAGGTGGGTTATGTGTGGAGCCCACCCAATCCTCACAGGTGATATATT